CAAAAAATTTTAAATTTTGCAAATTGAAGAGAATAACTGAATTTCAGGTTCTTCCTAATGGTCGGCCCGATTTAAATAGCTTTGAGTTGAAAGAACGGCGTATTTGTGAAATGGGAGCTGTAAATGTTGGTAATTTATGTGGTAAGCTACATCTACCACTTTTTTAAATATACTGTAGTGAGAGACTTGTGAATGGAGAGTATCAATTAAATTAGCTGTGATTTGATTATGCACTCTACATGACTGCTCAAGAACTATCTGATTTTGATTCTTTTTAAAATTAAATTATTGTAGTACCTTGTGCTCCGGGTTCATTTTATGATTCGATATCACGTACCTGTAAATTATGCGCGACTGATGAATATCAGCCTCGTACAGGACAAACTTCTTGTATACCTTGTCCTCGGGGTTATATGACAACTTCTCCTGGTTCAACACTTTCAACAGATTGTAAAAGTATGGTTATGAATTCAGTTTCCGATAGTTATGTGCACAAATTAGCAACAGTTTTAATATCTCAGTACATAAATTTTGTTGAATGTTAATATTTACTTCTTTCAAAAGAAGATTTCAAAATTTTTTAATAAAAGGTTTCCTGCATTAGTTTTGGTCTCGTTGATTTTAGTTTATATTGCTCATATAAAAACTAGCATGTTACACAATTTACCATCGTCTTTTTTTCCTTAAATGGAGCTCCAAAAACAAGTGTTTCCATATTTCAGTGCTGTATGTTTTTATAAATCTGTTTTTGCGTGTATATGGACAAAGCAAATTTAAAGGTGCATGCGAAGCTGGCTCAATGTATAATATTAGCAGTGGTTCTTGTGAGCCTTGTGGGTTTGGATTTTATCAACCAGTGTCTGGTGCTTTTAATTGCATTCCATGTGGTGTTGGTAAAACAACATTGAAAACAACCTCAACAGCAGAAGATGAGTGCCGTGATGAGTGTCCTGGTTAGAATTTTCTCAAAAAAGTTTTTAAAGATTTGGAAACTTTGTCAAGACTTTAAAGTCATTTGAAGTTAAAATAAGACGCTGACAAAGGATAGCTTCTTAATAAGCAGTTTCTAATTTTGTTCTTCTATTTCCTTTTATATTATAAGTAAAAGAAAATTAAGTGTTGTCGATCATTAATTCATTTTTATCCATATATTCCTCCACTGCAACAGATTACTGCTAGCTTAATTGGATGAATTTTTTGTTTTAATTTCTTCTCAAAGTTATAGTTTCTAGATGGTGAACATTTAACACAAGTTGGAGTATGTCTTCCTTGTCCACAAGGAACTTATCGTACGCGTGGTGTTCACAAAAGCTGTGTTGACTGCCCACCAGGCACTACAACAGAAGGCATTGCATCCGTTCGCCGAATGCAGTGTAATACACCGAAATGTTCTGCAGGACAGTTTCTCGTTACTGCTTCGTAAGTTAATCACTTACATTAACAATATCAAACTATATTATATGAAAAGCCATATGATATAGTTTGATGCTTCAGGGAATTTTCAAGCGGAAATCCATTACTAATATATTTTTCAGTAAGCAGTGCCAATTTTGCCCACGGGGAACATACCAAGATGAAGAAATTCAAACTGCCTGCAAGCTTTGTTCACCTGATCATACTACTGCTTCTCAAGGCATCTTTTTTTTTTGCTTTTTTTCTTTATAAAAATAACCTAGTCGATACATTGATATTCACAAATTAGAAACATTTTCAATTTGCCTTATCATCGATTTCCTAAACTCAGAAATTCACCATGACCTTTATTGATTATGGCATGTTATTTAAATTGATCAACACATCAAATTTAGGAGCAACTCAAGCAAGTCAATGTTACTCGACAAATCAGTGCGCTACTGGAGAAGATGATTGTTCATGGTATGCGATATGCATTGACTTACCAGATGAAAACGATGTTCCAAACTATCAGTGCAAATGCAAGCCTGGCTATAAAGGAAATGGAACACACTGTCAGGGTAATCACTTAGATCTTGAAGATTGAATTTTTTTGTACTTGTCAGATAAAATATTGCATTAGAAACATTCATTTTTGCTTTACTCATAGATGACAATGGTTTATTCATTTGCAACATATAATGTTACAGATGCTTGCAACAATTTCTGTCTCAATGATGGTACTTGTAAGAAAAATCCGATTGGTTATGTGGAATGTATATGTAAAGAAAATTTCTCTGGCGATCGCTGTGAGGTCAAGTTCAAATTACAAAACAATTATTATTGTGTCCTGTATATTCACTTTATTGAAAAATGAAAATTTTAAACGGAAAAACGTATTTAAATTCCTGCTCAAATTCTTTTTTTATAAGCATAGAAACCTTTTATCACAGCTGGTATGTTTGTATAAACCCAAATTTTCAGGTTCGCTTTCAAGCACGGACACAGAAAGTAGCTTTTATCACTGCTGGTATTGGTGGAGTGGTTACTATTCTTGTTGTTATTGTTATCATTATTTGGATGATATCATATCGTTTTAATCGAATTGAGGAGTCATCAGAACCAGAAAAGTGCCCAGTAGAAGAAAACACTCATACCAATTTTCTTTATGGGCGTGTTCCAAGTGAACAACCCAGGTTATTGTTGCTTATTCCTCTAATTGTTTTCTCACTAATTTTTCATACTTTACTATACTAGTGCTCATAGTTAAATAATTCGACTGTTATTAGAATTAATATCTTCATGGCCACAAGTTCGCTCTTGTTTTGCATTCTTAAGCCAACTATCCTTCTGTATTATTTCAAATTTTTTTTCGATGGGAACTTATTTGTGTTTTATTTCAGACCAATAGGCTACTACTATGAGGATGACGATGAGTATGATATGAAAACGATGTTTGTGGGGGAAGAAGAGAAAGAAATGGCGGAAAGAGTACGACATGCTCAGGCGCATATGTACACGCCGTCTAATAATAGGCTTGATTGATATATGAACTATAGCTTGATGTTTGTGATATCATTCTTAACCAGTTTAAAATGTAACCCTCATAAAATTGATGAAAACTTATTTCGGACTAATCGAAATAATTAACTTTAAGCTATTTACTGGAAAGTAATGACAAGAAATAAAATTTGGCCTATCATAAATGTTTTAATAAATATAGCATTATACAAATCAAATCGAATCACATTAACATGATTCTAAAATAAAATAATGAACTGACATTTTTGTGACTGCAAAGAATGAAGTAACTTAGCTCTAACTCTTGTTTCAAGTAATTCTTCAAATTTAATAAATATTCCAGTATACTTGCTTCAGCTGTCTTGACTACCGGAGGTAGTCTTTTTATTGTATTTTATAAAGTGATTGATTTAATTTCTTGTTGAATATGATATAATTATTTCTTGCTCAAGTAAAATGTTTATAACAATGAATACAGACATTGGTATATTACTGTGCTTAAGAGAAATGTTTGTCGTAGATAGCAAACATTTTTGCAACTTGATTGTAATAATAATTATAAACAAGCAAGGGTTTTTTCTGCTGAAATACTTATAAAGCGGTTTAGGTGAAAACATAACAAAAACGCACAAAGCACTATACGTTATCACTCGCTGTCAAAAAATCATTCCATTTATCACATGCCTATAAGAGGAGTCGATTTATTTCATTCTCTTGGAGTAGCATTTTTTAGTTTTATAAAATTGCTGATAATTTATTCTAATTACAGAGAATGCATGCAAAGAACGCTCTTTGCCCTTCTAATCTGGAAAACGTCGTTAATGAGGCATGTAACGGGGTTAGCTGATTCAGTATTAATTAAAATGTCAGATCTGTTTCGTGCGACTTATCTGCCGATCATCCCTTTCATCATATGAGGATTAATTAAGAGTGATGTATAGTAAGTCAGATTAACTGTGAAAATGAAAATGAAAAATGAGAATGCGTCTCATTTGAAAGGTAATAATGATAGGAAGAGGGAGTTGTTAATGGTACTCAATGTAGAATAAATGGATTTCTGGTAATATCTTGTATCTTAAAAGCAAGCCTTGTGCACCTGTCACTTTGCAAGGTTTCCATGCTCATTTGCAAAATGAATTATGTATGCTGACTAAAAATAAGGACAACGGTTTAAATAATGACAATACTTATAATGGTAATCACCTTACTAGTCCTAGTAGTAACAATAACAGTAAAATAATAATAATAATAATAAATGACAGTAAGTAACGACTAAAATAATATTAAATTATAATTATTATAATTACGATAATAATAATAATAATAATAATAAATAACAATAATAATGAAATATGGGAAACAGATGCAGCTGCAAACTGCTGCTGTTTAGATAACAAATATTGTTCTGTGATGAATGGTGGGAGCGAACGAGGAGACAGGGATGAAGTCAGGACAGCAGTAAATAAAAGGAAAAGAGGAAGGAGAGGATTAAGAAGATGAATTGATGTTGTTTACTAGCTTGCATGAATGCATGCATCTAACACGCAACGCGTTACCAAAGTAGTCTTAAGCAAGAAGCACGTAGGCAAGTAAGTAAGCAAGCAGAAATAAATAAGCCGAGAAATGAATGAGTGAACGAAACAGCAAGCTAGTGAGTGATTGAAGAAGCGAGCGCATGATGAATAAGGATGTTTGGAGCCAGAAGGCGCGAGCTTGAATACCTTCAACACTTGGCTCGTATTGCGAGCTAGCCTGGCTAGACTGATGCCTTCCCATGCTGTCCTTAGTAGATTATGCACATGCTCGAGACTAATTATTACTAGCAACTGCTGCTTACTGCATTCTCGCTTATTCTGAGCAAGACAGCATCATCAGCATCAGCAACAGGAACAGTGGTAGTAGTAGCACCAGTAAGAGCAGCAGAAGTAGCAGTAGTCAGGCTTACTTTCCACAACATTATACGCAGTAATCGCAGTAAGGCCTACTGCAGCCTGCCTAAATCGTCTGCACCCCTGTGGCTGTCCCCTATGCTTCTTCATCTTTTTGGACTGGCACTTACTTCCCTACGCTTACGAGCCACTTTACTCTTCTTCCTGACACGATTCATTCCACTTCTTTTAAAGTTAGAAGAAAGAACTTGGGAATCAAAGCGAGGGCTGCATCCATTGTCGTTCATCCACGTTCTTCCTCCATCTGTTCGTCCAATTCTCTCAAGGTACCAAATATGGAAGGCATGGAATCCACATCAAGTCCAATAACCAGTAACAGCTCGGATCCCTTATTTTCCGCTTCTTTACCTAAAACGTCATCTACGTCTCCACATGATTCAGACAATTACCACAGTCACGTGCCCCAAGATACTTACACGAACCGCAGTCGTAGCAGTCCACACAATCAAAGTATAGCTAGTGGTGTCACTACTGCTTTCAATCACTACACGACATTGACGCCTCTTCAGCCACTTCCACCTATTTCCACGGTTACCAGTCTTGCTGGCAAATTCAACCGATCCAGAGCAGGTTCACCAACAATAAGTGAATCAGTTGTAGGTGGTGTACCGTCTTGCAGCGGTACCTTGTATTTTCACCAAACTTCTACAAGTGCCATGCCAGGTTCTTTGAATTTCGGCTCATTTGCATATAATGTCAATATAAAGTATGTGTATGACCTAAAAAATGAACCCGATCCAGATGACAATCCAACAGCAGATGCAAATAATGATAGCAGGAATAACTACGGTACACCAGATCCTCTGCACCAACAACTGCATCACCTGACAGAATCATTTTCTCCTGCCCAATCTCCATATGGATCCGGTACATATAATGCTGCCTTAGAAACAAAGCAAGAAAAATTAGGTTTCGTTAGTTCAACTTCCTACAACACATTTAATGGTGCAACCGATATTCGTGATACAATGACCGCAGTGACCGTTGAAAGTGCTAAAAGGGTTCCTTTTTTCCTCTTTTTATTCATTTATCAATTACATTTTCTAATTCATCATTTACACTTTTTAACTGACTACTAAGTTTCAATTACAGATCATGAAAATCAACACGGTGAATTTGAATAGTTGACTTCCGTGTTGTTCTTAGTTTTTTCTATTAAACGAATTCTTCATCAAAAATATTTTTTTATTAACCATTTTCAAATATTTTTGATTTTTGAATGGTATTTTAGAATGAATCTTCGCCATTACTGGATGATGTAATACCTAGAGCTGGATCACCGGATTCTGGAAGTGATATGGATGAACTAAATACCAAAGATCTTGCGCAGAGAATTTCCGCTGAATTAAAGAGATATTCAATTCCCCAGGCAATCTTTGCTCAGCGTGTTTTATGCAGGTTCTTCATCAGTTCTTTCATTATACTCTAGTTGACAGATCTGTAAAAGAAGTATGGGGACAGTAGCGCAACATATCTTTTGAACAATTAAACTGTTTGTATCTTTCAATATCATTACAATCTAATTTTAAAAATTCTTACAACTAACAATATTTCACTAATAGGTTAGCAGCATAAAATGGACATCGCTGTTACTTACGTAAACTTGGTAGACTTATTGACATGTTTTGTTATTGCTTCTGGGCATGATCTATCAGCTCTTAATGTTGTTCAGCTAACATGAATCTCTCTCCACATTGTTAATTTCAGCCATATATCACAAGCTGTTACTTTGTGCAGGATAATTTTTAGGAATCTTGTTTTTGGAACTGCATGTTTTTTTTTTTGGCTTATTTCTCTTCAAAACTGTTATTGTCAACCCGACTTAGCATTTGGCAACATTTTTCTCTGTAGCTGTCATGCTTTCTAAATATGATTTTTACAGTTTCCGATGTTTTTTATAAGTTCTGAATGGTTCATAAGCACTGGTGTAGAGAAAAAATTTTTGAATACTTTCTGTCTCTTTTTGTTTTGCACATTTTTTCTCACAGAAATAATTTATTCACTGCAGAGGAAAAAATTTTTATTTTTATTTTTTTTAAATGAAGGCGGTTGATAATTCATGTTAGTCATCCATCTGTTATAGGTCACAAGGGACATTATCGGATTTATTAAGGAACCCAAAACCATGGTCAAAGCTTAAAAGTGGTCGTGAAACGTTTCGGCGTATGGCGAAGTGGTTGCAGGAACCGGAACTCCAAAGGATGTCAGCCCTACGCTTAGCCGGTACTTTTTTGGTAATTTTGGTCTCGATGGTTATTAGAAACAACAAACTGCTATTTGTTTTTCTTTAAAGCACCTAATTGTGCCATTCCATTTACGAATTTTGCAATTCTACGAAATTTTTTCCACTTTTTGGTCGTGCAAATCATTCAAAATTTTTTCTTTTAAATCTTGATAAAACAAATTTAGCATGTAATTATAAGACAACTTGACACCATGTTTTATTTGTCCTTAACAAATAGTTTACATGGTCTTTTGATACATGCAAGAACGTTAAATGAAGAAACTTATCAAATAAACACTGCAATAAAACTGTTGGAAGAATAGTCGTTAGTAACTGCTTGCCAAGTTTAGAAATTAATGTGAATGATTTTGAGAGAAGTGAGAGAAACGTTTGTTTTTAATGCTAGAGATTTCGTATAGTTCTCAGAGTGCTGCAGTAAAGCGGTTTGATATCCATGAAGAAGCAAATCATTTTCACTCATGAATTTATTTTTTAATGATGCTTAGAGTATGTGAGATTTATCCCTTTAAAATTATTTGAGTTCATATCTATAGTAAAAAGTAAGTGAGTGGTTACGTTTGTGATTTTATGAAAAATTTCCTGATACATGGTGATTAGAATTGCTTAACTATTTAATCATTTAAAAATCGTCATTGCTAGCCTCTGCTTGATCAATTCTGTGCTATTCTGTGTTATCATCATTTTTCTTTTTACTATTTTCCGGCATAGCTCAGTTTTGTGAGAAAATGATAGCAACGGAAAGATACATTCTTGTAATAATCATAGTTTATTCCAAAGACTTATGATAAAAAAGTAGTATTAGCAGAGAAAAAATGCAGAAAATTTTTCGAAAAAATGGAATGCAGTGAAAGAAGAATGTAACAAAAAGTAACGATGTTCCTGTATAAAGATGAAACTGTGCAAAATTAGTTCATGCATCAGCACTTGTATGATTAATGAAGTTCTTGAGCATTTCAATAAGTGAAAGTAGAGTATAACTTTATTTGGATGGAATGGGTTAGAGAAGTAGTGGATAAACTGTATAGAATATTACCAGAAAGTTCGAATACAGTATTTTCTGCTGTAAAAAATTAAGTAGACTGATTTAGATGCTTGCCTTGTATCATAAAATCTTTCATTAAGAGCTTATTCTTTAAACAGTCTCATCCAAAACACTTAATCAAAGTTTGAAAAAGAAATTTCATAAATACTTAGCTCTATTCTTTTTTTCTTCTCTCAGCACTTTCTATGTCGTTATTCACCGATATGCTTAAGTGAAACCTTCGCCAAAATCCGAAGAAAATTCAAAAGAGTGGTAGAATGAATCAATAGCAGTGCTTTATGAATGCAGTTTGGTGAATAATTCAATTAATTGATCAGTTGCTTCCTGAATTTTAAAAGCTTAGCATGATACGGTAATTCTTAAAATAATCATCGTCTAAATAAATTCTGCTAGCTGAGTATTATACATTCTTAAATTTTGTATTTTCAATCTCTAAATTTTAGCAAGTAATATAATTCAATTAATTGATCAGTTGCTTTAGCAGTCAACACATGCTATTTAAGTGAAAACAGGGATTTTGAAATTCTGGAGACTGACATAAGTTTCTGAGTAAATATGAAATCGAAATTATTTAGTCTGAAAGTTTTTCCAACAAACAGCTTCACATTTTATGTATTTAGCTGCTTTTTTAATTACGTTGTATAAAATTCACACTCTTTAAATTAAAAAACAGTTTGTTAGCAATATGTTAAGTGGTGCAGTACAATAAATTAAGATACTAAAGTGTGCTGCAGAGAATGTTTTTACTGCACATTACGTAATGAATTGGATTTCATATTTTGGTAGCCTAAAAAAATTAAAAATTTATTGCTGGTGTGATAAGTAATATCGCTGATAAAGCAAGGAAAAAACAATACAAATATATTTCCTTTAGATGGCTTTTACATTCAAAAGAAACTCATCTGTTGCTATGAATTGGCTTATAATATAAAAATTACTTCGGCTATGAGGAATCATATTTTGTCTGTAAAATAATTATTTGCACGCTGCATAGTATTTGAAACTCTGTTCAATAAATAGTTTATTGATACTTAATGGATTAAGTCTCCTCATTTACAGCTGATAATATTCAAACTGCCGTTAAAAATTGCAGTTTATTTCATCTTTGCAGAATCTGAAGATTGTACATTTGTTCTGTTCTGTATTTAAAATTTCATGAAACAATTAATTTAGCCTGTAAAAGGAAAGATGAACAACAAATCAATGGTACATCCCAACCAGTAACTCCCAAGAAGCCACGTTTAGTTTTCACGGATATTCAAAGACGTACATTGCAGGTGGGCCAATTGCAGGTGCTGATATTTATAAAAAGCAGTGCTGATATTTATAAAATACGTTATTTCCTTTTTCTAGATGATGTCTCTGAAAGTGTCATTTGTCTAAGAAATTTTCGTGATATCAAATTACTCAAACAACATTTACTTCTGAAGCTAAATTATGTTTCATGGAGTTGAATTTTATTACTGCTCCGTTATTTCTGATGCAAAAGATAGAAAATTCTCATTTTTAAAATTGCACAATGTCGAAAAATCCAATTTTTTTTGCTTTATATTGATCCCAGTCAATACACTGTTCAATTTTCAAAATTTGTGATTTAAACTGAGTGTTGATCTTTCTATTTTATCTCGCTCGCAAAAAATATTACAAAAATTATTTTCTTTTGTACTTGGTCTGTCGAAAACAATCAGTAAACAGTAGTAGCGAAGGGAAAAACCCATTACAGGGCGATATCTCAAATATTCTACAATCAGATGGGTAGAATATTAGTCTTGCTTTAAAATTCTGCTTTAGGGATTTTATGTCCCTTCCTTATTCAGTACGTGTTTGCCCTACTAATTTTTACTGGAAAAAAAATTCAATTAACCGGGAAAAATGTTATTAAAAATTAACATGTTTTAAGTCTGCTTCTTGATCACCAATTTTTATAGTCATAACCTTTATATCTTAATATTGTCATATCTTATTTCTAATGCATTTTCAATTGCTATTATGAGTGATTTTTAAGATTTTTATTGCTACTTCACACAGCTAACAGTATACCAAATCTGATCAGCTGCATCTGGACATTAAAATTCGAGCAGTAACTCATGCACTCACTATTATATAGTATCATGCGAGAAATATTTCGTTTTTTAGGCTATTTTCAAAGAGACAAAACGGCCGTCACGTGAAATGCAGTTAACAATATCGCAACAACTACATTTAGATCCAACAACGGTTGCCAATTTTTTCATGAATGCACGTCGTCGTGGTCATGATCGTAGTAGGCAGGAAGAAGAACAGCAGCAGCAACAGCAACAGCACCAGCGAACAACTTTAGATTCGAGTACAAATGGTGAAACAGTGCTAAGTGTAGCACCACCACCACCACCAGTTTTCGAACAACTGTGAAAGCAGTTAATTAGGCATGATTTCTTGTAATTAGTTATTTGCCATAATTCATTGAAATTTTAGTTTCTGGAGATGTAATAATAAATTTAGGCTCAGTATATATAATAATTCATCAAAACATGTCAAACCGAGGGAGTTCTGATTGTTTTTGGTGTGTTAGGTAATCGTATTTTGTTGAGATAAAAATAGCTAGAACATAATAGACAAAGAAATATTTGGAAAAAGTAATAATTATTGAAAATTATTGATGCAGCTGTTTTTATAACTGCATTTGTACGTAATTAATATGAATATTTCTTAGCCATGTTATTTTTTTATTATCAAGTGTATACAGAGATCAGTAGTCACTGCTGGAATATATGTCCTATATATATATATAATCCAGTTGTTAATTATTGTTACAGCATAATTCACTTTCAAATTTGAAGCCAGACTTTTTTCTGATGAAGGAAAATTGTAATTTGTTCATTTCTAGGGCACAAAATTTTCATCATTTATCTTCTTTAAACATGCCCGAAACTTGCAAATCAACCAATTACTGTATAAGTGAGTGATACTAATAAAATATCCGCCTATGCAAATAAAGTTCAAGGTTTTTTTGAAGCTTAATCCTTATTTTCAGTCATTTTTTGGTTCATCCAAATATTAATTCATCACTAATGGCAAATTATGTCCAAATTACATGCAATCAAACTTGTGATTTATTCTTAAAGCAGAAGATTATTAATCACCTTTTTATCAGCATTTTTTAGCTGACCACATGCTACTCTCAGTAATCATAATATACATATTTATCATATTGATGAAATTAATAAATCAATAATAGTGTAAGTTTTTTTTCACTGACAACAAATCTTTCTCAATTCTTCTCATAACTGTCTTTTTTTGCCCTAAAGCCAACCGATCATTTTTTATTTGGATAAGATGTAATCTTTATACGTGATATCAGTTTCATATTTGAAACCATGTAAATGATTGTATGTAATTACCACGTTTGATACATTACGCTCATCAACAAATGAAAATTTGAATACGAATGAATGTCATCATTTTCTCTGCCTTTATAATAACTATTTTGAAAATTAGCTGATAATATGTACTTACCTCAATAAAATCATGAATTTTCGCATTAGTGAACATTTGCTCACTTTCCCACTCTTTTTTCAGCCTTTTACTTCACATTAATAAATGAATAGATAAGTTTACTTTTCAAAAAATGAATTTTCTGCATTGATGACTAAAAATTCCGAAAATTTTCATGATGAGACATTT